TCCCCGCGCATACGGGGCGCGCGGGGTATGTGAGACTCAACGATCTGCAGGTGTTGAGAGCAGATCGCGGGCCCAAGGATTTTAGGACCCACCCACTAAACGACTCCCCTGCACTCTTACACCCGACGTCCGATCCTCTCCGAGGTCAGAACCCGGATGAGGTAGGGGGGTTACCGCGGTCAACACTACAACCAGACGGTGCGGCTCACCCCAAGGACGCCGAGCCGACGGAGCCTTCGAGGCGAATCGAAGGCTCTGAAACGTCGGCTGTCTCGGTACGGCAGCCCGTCAGGCCGCCCAGACAGTGCCGCTGGTGTCCCGGAATACCCCGCTGGACCAGAACCAGCCTGCCGGGTCGGGACGCGATACACCGCCAACCGGTCGCTCTTAAAAAAAAAAAAAAAAAGGGTGGTGGTACCCACCCGCGTGGACTCACAAGAGGTCCTACCACCAGTAATTACGCAAATTATAATTTTGCGGGTTTCATTTTTATTACACGATGTTATTCCTACACCATGGAAGTCAATCGTGAACATTTGTTGAGTACGTATTTCATTTGAAAAATTGGTACCCGCCTGCGGGATTCGAACACCGGTGCATCGCTTCAACACGAATGCACCGGACGTCTTATCCGTTAGGCCACGACGACTACCTCATATCTTTTTGTTAAGTATTATTTTTTGCTCATTTATTACTGAACAAAAATAGACAATAGAAAAATAAATTATAAATAGTCACTCAGCTTAAAAGCTAATGAAACGCTCAATTAATTAGTGTAATAATAATCAACATCAACTCTTACAAATTTAAACCAAATTAAATTCTGTTTCAAATGTGAACGGTAGATGACGCTGTTCTTAATTATTTCAGATTTTAAAATTGAAATCTGAAAGCTTTGAAACATCAATCCGCGTAAATGTAATTTAAAAACTACAGTAACGAACAAACGACGAACAAATAATTAAAAATAAAAAAAATCCGAAAATAAACAAAGGGGACCAAATTTACAGAGCCCAATTTACCGTAGACCTAGGTTTCATACTTCATCAGTGAGATTTTTTTTGGTACAATTTTTCCTTATTAGGAAAGGCAAGGGGATCTAAGCCCATTCAGCTTTATAACAAATATTAAGTTTTGTTTTAAAAATGAATTTTGACCTGGTAACTAAGACTTTTAAGTCGTGTCTTAATGAAATGACGATAATTAATTTGAGACATTAATAAACTGGGATGAAATCAAATGAAATGAGATGAAATGGGATGAAATATAATCTCAATAAAATGGTGGTAATTTACTGAGATTTTTTTAGTGGACTTTTTGGAGGATCCCCAGAAGTTACAGCCAGCGGCTTTGTCTCATTTTCCCACATTTCGTCTTCTCGCATTAAAACTGTTTAATCTCAAAATTTACTAATGTTACAGGAGAGTATTTTAAAGGTTTAACATGTGATATTTTTAATAATAAACATCTTTGCAACATTTATTCATTATTTTTTACTAGATACATTATCTGTCTTTTAAAGTAAGATAAAAGGATGTATTAATTTTGTTAATAGTAGTCAGAATATAGGTAAACTAAAAAAACTAAAACTAAGCTGTCTAAACTACCCTCTTTTGACTACTAAATGATTTCACATATTAACTAAATTTCGAATATTTTTGGAAATTGGACACTTTTAATGCAAAAAGACGATTTGTGCACTTTCACAGATACTAAACAGTTAATATACCACCGTTATTACACATTTAAACCTGAAGAAACACTAAATAGACAAAATAAAACAAATCACACAACTTCACATTTCTTAGCTTGTACTATGTTTGATCTGGATGGCCCTAGGGGCTACGGCCGTAAAGCCGTATTGATTGATTTAAATAAACAAAATAAGAGGTGAATGAAGTTAGGCCCTCAAAAAAATTTTTTTTTCCTATTTTATACTTATTTTCTATTAATTCGTTTGTTCATCATTTGTTCATGATTGTTCACTCTTAATAATTGTTTGTTCTGCATTTATTTATTTTAAAAAAATATTTAAAAATATACCTACAAGTTAGCCCCTCTAATGCAATTTTTTATATTTTTTCATCCTTATTGTCTCGTAAATATTCTTTTTCGATTGTCCTTATATAAAACACGTTTGTTCTCTTTCGAAATTACTTTTTTGTTTAATTTACTATTTTTATTAGTTGAATAAATGTATGCAAAATATGTGTACTGCGCATGCGTCAACTATAATGCCTAAACTTTCTACGCGTTAACGTTCTACGTTTTAATCGTGAAAAAAAAAACAAATATAAATCCTGAAGGAGCAATTAATTGGTATACAGTTTAATTAAAGAAAATAAAAAATAAATAAATGAAATAATGTGCATTGGCGTTAAGTTAGACCAAATACATTTTTTCCGCATTATAGTTGACGCATGCGCAGTACACATATTTTGCATACATTTATTCAACTAATACAAATAGTTAATTAAACAAAAAATGAGTAATTTCGAAAGAGAACAAACGTATTTTATATAAGAACAATCGAAAATGAATATTTACGAGCCATTAAGGACGAAAAAATATTAAAAATTGCAATCAGGGGGCTAACTTGTACATATATTTTTAATAATTTTTTTAAAATAAATAAATGCAGAACAAACAATTATTAACAGTGAACAATCAAGAACAAATGATGAACAAACAAATTAATAGAAAATAAGTAGAAAACAGGAAAGAAAATTTTTTTTGAGGGGCTAACTTCAATCACCTCAAAATAAGCTCTAGAGTTCGTCTCACGATAGAACTCTGGATTGTTTTTTTAAGGGATTTCATGACCTGGTAACTAAGACCTTTAGGTCAAGTCTTATTTTAATTTTAATGAAAACTTTTTTATATGTAAAATGATATTAAAAAATGAAATGAAGTAGATTAATATGATACATGGCATAAAATGGAATGAAAACGAAATGATATTTCGCCTCATTTACGCATGTAAATTCTCTAAATAAAAATTCCGAAATATTGCGTATTAGCGTTTATTTTTTTAAATATTATTCATCATATTAATTGTTAGGGTTTAGGGTCATATTACAAGTCTTTACAGTTATTACATGTATTAAATTATGAATAGTAGGTAGGTGGGTACTAATTAAGTACATACTCATTAAGAGCAAGCTTTCTAGCCATCTAAATTACAATTAACTACATCTTTATTAAATATTGTTAAATATACAATATTTAAAATTAAATATTTAAAATTTCAAATAAATTTAATTTAAAGAAATGAATTGTGTGGTTTTGGTTGTGTTTTTGAATTTGAATTTGAATTTTGTTTGCAAGAAATTAGTTAAGTAGTAAAGTCTCCATAGTGAGAAACCTAATGATATGCGCCGAATCAAGAATAACTGCTTTCTAAGAAGTCAACTAATTAGTGAAAGTTTTTTTAGGTTGAAACTTTTTGCTAACAAACCATGCAACTATTGTAACAATGATAGTTGAATAAACATGCCACATTTTATTAGAATGTCCTTTTCTGCCTTGGTGGCATTCTCGTTGTGAGAAAAAAACATAGCAAGCAATCTCAATCAATATTGTATCTCTAGTCTCCGTTATATTATATTAAAAAAGGAGTTTTCGTTCAACTATGCCAGGTTCGATCCACACTATGTAAATTAAGGCATATATACTCGTATTGCACGATTTTAGCCGTACGCTGCTCAATCCTCAATAATTAATAGACCTGAGACCAATGATGTTATCTCTAATATCATTGCCTGAGTCCATAATTTTTTCTGTTAATACTTTTTTTTAATTTGTTCCATTTTTTAAGAACATAGATTTTAGTGCGTCTTTATCTTGATTTTCTTTTTCTTTGCGCATTTTTTTAATATTCTCCAGTTCTTTATCTATGGTGGTTGACATGGACTGATTCAGAGCTTTAAGCCGTCTTAAGTCTTCTTCAGCCCGGTCAGGGTTCCATGCACCTATGTGAGCTTTGGCTCGTCTGTATAAAGCTTTTTCATTATCTGTGGTTATAAGAAAAAATACACAGTATTAAACAAAATGACCAACATAGTCAAAAACCATTAACCATTGTTGAAGACCTTTTGTTCCACCTTTTTCTTTTGTGCATAAATACTGGCATATGGCTACTTGATAAAAAAAAACAGGCATCATCAATCATCTCTTGGATATCAGCAATATCAGCCTCATGTTCAAATTGATTTCAAAAATATGCATTGAGGTGATTGTCACATGTAATTAAGACACCAGTAAATATACAATCAACCTCTATATTTCTACCATAAAACAGTTATAAGTTCCAGTCATTAACAAGATAGTTGCTATGAACTATAAATCAGGACCATTCATTTGTCAAGGTGTGTTGGGTAGGTTTAAAAACCGGGATATACAGAAAGCAAACTTAGAATACATATAAACTGTACATATTCATTGATATAAGTATTTTATTACTTTCTAAAATTTTTTTTTTTTTGCTTAGATCGGTGGACGAGCTCACAGCCCACCTGGTGTTAAGTGGTTACTGGAGCCCATAGACATCTACAACGTAAATGCGCCACCCCCCTTGAGACATAAGTTCTAAGGTCTCAGGTATAGTTACAACGGCTGCCCCACCCTTCAAACCGAAATGCATTACTGCTTCATGGCAGAAATAAGCAGGGAGTTGATACCTACCCGCGCGGACTCTCAAGAGGTCCTACCACCAGTATAAAGTATAGTATTAGTATATAGTCTATTGATTGTTTGTGACTTACCTTTGTCAAATTCTAAAACAGTATTACAATGTTCGATAACTGCATAATATTCTCCTTTGAGGAGTTTACATTGTGCATAATTCAATAATATTGGAATTTTTAGTTCGTTTATATTAATCCATTCTTCATCACCTTTTCTTTCCCTGAAAATTAAAAATGTTATAATTTATTACCTTCCTTATGTCTGTATTATACTACACAAGGAGAGGGCGGGGCACGAAAGCATTATTCTCTGAACTAACCCCTCATCAGTGAGCTGGGGGCCAGGTTTGTGATCTGAAGCAACTCCCTGCCCCTTCAGTATTGCAGGTTCCCTCTGTGTCGTTTTAGAGACAGGTGAGGGTCAAGAAGGGCAAGGTGGACCTCAAGAAGTAAGCGTGTGAATTATGTCGATAGGTCAAAGTCACACACATGCTGAACCTGATCTATGCGAGTTATATTATAGATAGTTGTGGCATTGTGTTGAGGAGAGATATTCTCTTGCTTCTGTCCATCTTGTTTGTGAGTCTTTCTCTGGAAGAAATTAATTACATACCTATAGAAGTTTCTTTACAGATAAGCAGACAATATAATGAGCACAAGAGCAATAATCACATAAGTAGCTTCAATATTCTTTTTTTATGTTTGCACATCACAAGCTTCTTTTAAATCTAAAGGCGAATATGTTATAGATTCTGAAATGGTAATTTAGTAACCTGATCATAAGTTGTTCACATATAGCAAGTGCTTCATTGTATGCCTCCTCTGCTTCATCATATTTCTTTTCTCCGTACAACCTGTTGCCTTTCTCTTTTAATGTTGGAATCAAATCGATTCTCTCCTGTATACTTAGCTGCCACATCTCTCTTTCATATTCATCTGAATGTTCCACTTTAAGTAATTCTGTGGAGTTAATTCTAAACATGAGAAACTTTAGAAACATCATAACACCATCATTTGTTAAGGACAGTTCAGGTTGTATAATTCTTGTGTGAATATTATAATAATTGTCTTTTTTTTTCATTTTAATTATTTTCAATGTATTTTTATATGAATCTGATACCTATAATGAACTCCAGATCGCATGGTTTGGTGATGATTTCATCCAAGTCTTTATAGCCTATGCCTTCAGTGTGCAGTGTCATGGTACATGTATGTTTCACCTTTTGTTGACTCTGACCTAGTTCTCTTAATGTTTTAGATACAAAGGGATATGCATATACCAACTGTAAGAATTGNTTATTTTCACTGTATTTTTATATGAATCTGATACCTATAATGAACTCCAGATCGCATGGTTTGGTGATGATTTCATCCAAGTCTTTATAGCCTATGCCTTCAGTGTGCAGTGTCATGGTACATGTATGTTTCACCTTTTGTTGACTCTGACCTAGTTCTCTTAATGTTTTAGATACAAAGGGATATGCATATACCAACTGTAAGAATTGTAATACATTAGAAGATTAAACGTTATGTTTATAATTTATATTATAATATTGTAAGTGTATTGTAATAATATAGTCATTCTATCAGCTTAATATTATTACTTAAATGATCACATAAAATCTTATTGTAAAATTTTTACATACATAAAACGGTGTGTTTGTCTATTTTTTTAAATAAAAATTAGAAGGTTGAATTACCAATGCTAAAACATTTTCATCACAAAAATGTCATTAAGGACAAAATTTTATGAAGTATTATTAAGTAATTATTAATACTTAAGTATTATCAACTCTCACACCAGTGGTCTTTACAACTTCACAACATGAACATTGCCAACCATCTCGACACAAGATTACCATATCAATTGTATTGTTGCACCCTTAAAACTGTGCAACTACTTTTTTTTTTAATTGTCCAGATGGATGAACGAGCTTATAGCCCACCCGGTGTTAAGTGGTTATCAGAGCACTTAGACATCTATAATGTAAATGCCGCCACCCTCCTTGAGATATGACTTCTAAGGTCTCAGTATAGCTATAATGGCTGCCCCACCCTTCAAATTGAACTGAAATGCATTACTGTTTCACAGCAGAAATAGGCAGGGTGGTGGTGGTAACTACCCATGTGAACTCACAAGAGGTCCTATCACCAGTAATAATATTAACTATTTTGGTAAACTCTGCCTCAAATAAAATTAAAGTATTTACACTGTTAATGTACATGGGCTTCAGTAATCATTTAACACCAGGTGGACCGAGTTCATCCAACCCTCTCTAAATAAATAAAAAAAAAAAACTGTGTTGCATGAATAAGATAATAATTCCATTACCTCTTTTTTTACCACAAAACTAGAGACTTCTCCAATGGCCATCATTTTAACTACAGTCTCCCATACTTCAAGTTTGAATTTATGACCTAGTACCAGCACCATAGGCTCCTTTTTACCTATTTTTCTACTATCGTCAATTAATACTCTTTCTTGGCCAAGTTTCCATGTTTGAAAGTGGAAGTAAACCTATGGAAGCGAAAAAAATTAGTAGACTACATAGTGATACTCGGGACATCTGTTATCCTTTTTATATTTCATTATCAATAGAATAAATATTTCTACGTTTTTATAACAATGATAAGATTTCTGACCTTGCTTCCTTTAGTAATGGGAACATATTTTTGACCTGTATGTATTATTTTTTTAACTATCGGAGCTGAATCGCTCATTTTGTCACGTATCTTTATAAACTTATAGCTATTTAATTTCAGGTGTATTCAAGACATTAGGTGTTTTTTATCAATACATAGATAGTATTAGATAGTATGCACTTAATAGTTATGAATCATTAGGTAAAATAATGTTTTGTTTATTACTGACACTGACGGCCAAGCCAGTGACGGCGTTGACTTTTTAACTTGTATTTTTTCTGGTTTGATTTGTCAGATTGAGCAAAAAGCAGCAAAAAGTCAAAGCTCATTCGATGAACCTTTTTGTAATAATAGGCAAAAGACATAAATCTCTTTTGTGTATGTAATCGAATTATCTTAAATATGCAAAAAAAAAAAATTGTTATTAAAGTGGTGACTGTAAATTCGTTAGGCTTTTTTGATGAAGCCTGGAAGCCATGTTCAACCAAAGCCCTTTCACTTAAAAACAACATTGTCACTGCCTACCTTGTCTTAATATGGCTCAATTAAATTAGTTTCATAGTTGACATACAAAAACCTCTATCAACAGTAATGAAGATAAAAAGAGGTCAGGTAGGTATGAAAATGTGTGAAGGATAAGAAAGTAGTAGGGTACTACTAGGGTAGAGCTTATTTGGGATTTCTGGTTCACACACTTGTATATTTGAAGACGTGGTAAATAGTTTATTAAAATTTAAAATTATCTAACACATTCCTTGTGTTTTTTTAACTATCTGTTATTCGGGGAGCTGTGGGTGGATGACGAATTTTTTCCATTTACCAATTTTCTTCCTTCTTCATATGCATGTAAGCATGTAATAATAGTAGATCTTGAAATTGTTCTAATGTATCAAATGGAAAAAGAAACATTTTGACAGGCTAAAAAGTCCAGTTTTCAACGGCCATAAACAATGTCAAGTGATTAAAAACTCAATCTTTCATTTCTGTCATAATTTCATGTAAACGATACATAGCTTTTTTATTTTTCTTATTTTTTAGAAATAAAAATTAACAAAGCTTAGCGTATTATTTAGATTAAGATTAAGTAGAATAGTAGTTTAGTTTAGCATGTCAGACTTTCTGGAATCTGAAGCAGAGGAGAGCGAGGTTAGTAAAAGATGCTTGTTCTCATTTTGATTGCGTAGTGTTGAATTATCTTTGTAATGATTCGTATTATTGGATATAGTTGGATTCTGAGGCAGAAGAGCAGCCGGCAGAACGCAAAAAACATAAACGGAAAGCAGTTCAAAGTGACGACGAAGACGAAGAAGAAGAAGGTATGAATCGACTTCGACACTTTCTTTTTGTTAGTCAATTAACGTACGGATTGTTTGCCCAATATTAACATAAAATGAAGAAAACACAAAAAGTCTAGCTTCAAACGATGACCTTATTCATTGAAATATCTATCTGTCATTATCATGCTTTATTGATTTATTCATACTAAACATTTGCAAGCATGTGGTCATTGTGATTATCTAAATAACAAATTTGAAAAAATATTACTTATAAATTCATCTAGAATACAGAACGACTAAAGTTGAATTGAATGACTTTTATTGAGTCCCAAAAGAATGACCAACTACAATAACTTCACTTTAATTGAACAAGATAAGTGAAATTGCNTTATCATGCTTTATTGATTTATTCATACTAAACATTTGCAAGCATGTGGTCATTGTGATTATCTAAATAACAAATTTGAAAAAATATTACTTATAAATTCATCTAGAATACAGAACGACTAAAGTTGAATTGAATGACTTTTATTGAGTCCCAAAAGAATGACCAACTACAATAACTTCACTTTAATTGAACAAGATAAGTGAAATTGCAATTAAACTCTAGATGACGAGGAACGTCTCCGAGAAGAACTTAAAGATTTGATAGATGACGCACCAATAGAAGAATCAGGAAGTGATGGAGAGGACTCTGATGCTAGTGTAGGACCAAAGAAAAGAAAAAAAAGTGATGATGAATTGGATGATCGGCTTGAAGATGAAGATTATGATCTCATTGAAGAAAATCTTGGTGTAAAAGTTGCAAGAGTAAGTAAAAAATATTTATTTCATTAATTATCAATTTTCCTGATCACTGATAATTTTTTTAAGAAATGTGAAACAAATTTCTTATATCATTGAATTCTGAGAAGTTTTTATACACTTCATTCATTCACATTCATCTTATCTATAGATGATAATATATTATTGAACAATAATATATTATTGTTTAGTTTTTGATTTGAAATCTCATAGTTTCCCTAATAGTGAGATTGTCTCTGTGCATGGTATAAAGTTGACTGTGGACTCTGATGATTTTTAAATTAGGTAGATTGTGAACTTGACTGCACATTTTAAATAAAACAAAGATACTGAAGTACTAACACAAAACAAAATGAAATACTACATTAGGACATTATTTCTTTTAGAACAAATTTAAACGTCTACGTCGACTAGAAGATGACGACAGTGACAATGAAGGGGCAGATGATCCTGACCTGGAAAGAGAAGTTATTGCAGAGAAATTGTTTGTTGGTGGTTCTGATGAGGTAAGCAAGACAATTTGACTCTTGAAGAAATGCTATGAATCGACTTTTTTATTAATTTTGATTGGCCCATGGTCCAAAATAGTGTATAGCTAAGCATGGTTTGTGTGTTTCCGAACTTCATATTAGTTTATTTTCCATACATTTGTATTGAATTAAAGTTGGTATTAATATGTTTTAAAATTAATCTTTTTAACTTATTAGGAAGATGAGAATCGTTCCGATTCAGCTGCCCCACGTGGTGATGTAGAATATGATGATGACAATGAAGAGTTGGAATCAGATGCTGATGATTTTATTGTTGATGATGATGGTAGACCAATAGCTGAACGCAAAAAGAAACGCAAACCTATATTTACTGATGCGTAAGTTTTTAAACCTTATAGTTAATACATTATCTTTTGTATCACATAAGGAACCACAGCCCCGAGAGCTCACCTACACGCCAGCCTCTCAAGGCTATCAGCGTAAGTAGTGAATTTTTTTTTATTAGGATACATTAAAAAGCGAAAGATGTATATTTGATCAAGAATATTTAAGTAATGTAATTAATATTTTTAATTGGAACCTTCATGATAATAGTTGGTGGTTTTCATCTATGATGTTGAAGTGCAAGAATCACTATTTTGGCTCCTTGTCTGTATTGGCTATTTCAACAATTCAAATCTTTATTTAACCTCTCAACAAACAAGATGGCCTAAGCATTAAAACCACTCAAATTAAGTCTAGATCAACACCATTATTAAAAAAAAAATCATATTTAAAGACATATTTGATTTGAGCTTTAGAAATTTTATTTTTGTATTTGTGAAGATTAGCATAAGATGTATTTTACCACAAATAGGCATAAATCAAAAGTACATAAATATTAAAAACATTATTTTAGGTCACTGCAAGAAGGTCAAGATATATTTGGTGTAGATTTTGACTATGATGAATTTGAAAAATATGGCGAAGAAGATTACGAGGATGAAGACGAAGAGGATCTGGATGAATATATTGAAGATGATGAAGAGGAAGGTCAGTCTAAATTGTATATAATAATAAAAACTGGGGACAAATCATGCACCGTCATCTGGCCTCAAATTATGATCTCCGTGTTATGGGTACCAAAGACTGACATTATAGATACACATATATAGATAATTAACACCCAGATGAAGAGGAAACAAACCATTCATCACACAAATGTTTGTCCGATTTTGGAATCAAAGCCACGATCCTTGGCACAACAGTCAGGGGTACTGTCTAATGGGCCACCGAGTCCATCAAAATATATATTATATATAAAGATACCAATTATATTCTTTTTTAACAATGTAATGATGCGTAATGGTAATTGAGAATTTGATTTATCCTTATTTTTTTTTTTAATTTTATTTATTTAATTTAATTTGATTTATCCTTAATTTATCCTTACGATTACTATAATTTGAACATTAAATTACAAGTAACTGTGGCGTTTTAATGTTTAATTCTTTAATTAATAATTAGTTTAAAAGTCGACTACTTTATGTAGTTTGTTTTGGTCAGTATCTTTTAAAAGCATTTTGAACATCCGTCGTCGATTCGTTTTTCTTTCTTGTATACCACTGGAGCTACTGAAAGTCTAAATTTTTTATGTAACGAAAAAGAAAGCATAGTAATAATTTCATTAAAATAATAGGTGAAAGACGTAGGACAAAGAAGGGTAAAGCTAAAAGGCCAAGCAAGAAGTCGATCTTCGAAATATACGAACCCAGTGAATTGAAGAGAAGTCACTTTACTGATTTGGATAATGAGGTTAGTGGGTATATCTAATCCATTTTACAATTCATTCTATTGATAATAAAAATCTGTAAAGTTTTAAAGAATAATTTGCTATTAATTTTTTAAGTATTGTATTTTTATAATGACTTGGAAATTTGTTAATATTGACGCATGTTAATTAGGCATTGGAAGATAATTGTCGTTTTTAATTATGAATTAATAGATACGTAAAACTGATGTTCCTGAACGTATGCAAACTCGTGAAGTGCCTATAACTCCAGTGGAGGAAGGCAGTAATGAACTGGAAGAAGAGGCAGAATGGATTTACAAGCAGGCTTTCTTGAAGCCTTCAGTTTCCAAAGCTGATGCACAGGACGCCAGGGAGAGAACTAGACGGTAAGAGTTTATTTACCATGTAGATACTATGAAGGGTTGACCTATACACAGAAAATGTATTTATGAGGATAGTCACTTCTTTTTTGAGACGAGCAAGTTGTGAGGTCCTTTTTAAAGGAAAAGTTTCTTAAATTTTTTTTTAATAAAATGGTAATTTTCTTTCTTTAGAGGTTCAAGTACAATAACGAAGATTCGTCAAGCGCTTGACTTCATGCGAAATCAGACCTTAGAAGTGCCTTTTATAGCGTTCTACCGTAAGGAATACGTAGAGCCAGAACTCAGTATCAACGATCTCTGGAAAGTTTATAAATATGATGCTAAGGTATGTGAGATAGAGGTGTGATGATAAATTAAACTTGATTTTTGATAAGAAAGTGTGGTGTTAAATGTAGTTGAAAATCTTTCCAAGATATATATTACAAATTTACACTGAAGATTACACACAAAATAACGTTTGTACTGGTAGTAGGGCTTAATGTGAGCACAGAGGAGTACCATCATTTTATCAATTTCAGGCGTGAACCATGTATGTATTATACAGTATTTTTTCTGGTGTTTTGGATTACCAGAATCACAAATACAAGAAAGTACCTGGGTCTCAAATATCTTTCATAAAGATATTGTTTTGTTAATTGGGTGTATCTGATCAGGAATCGAATCGAGTGTGTTTTTAGCAATAATTATTACTTGTATTTTAGAGTTCAATATTAGCTTCATATGATGCGAATGTAAAAAAAGCGTGAATTGAAATGTATTTTATTTTTATTTTTGTTGCTTTGATGGTTGGACGAGCTCACAGCCCACCTGGTGTTAAGTGGTTACTGGAGCCCATAGACATCTATAACGTAAATGCGCCACCCACCTTGAGATAAGTTCTAAGGTCTCAGTATAGTTACAATGGCTGCCCCACCCTTCAAACCGAAACGCATTACTGCTTCACGGCAGAAATAGGTGGGGTGGTGGTACCTATCCGTGCAGACTCACAAGAGGTTCTACCACCAGTGAAGGTCCTACCACCAGTGAAAACTGTAATTCCTTGGACAGTGGTGTCAGCTGAAACAACGGAAAGAGAATTTGCTGAAGCTATTCGAGAACATGCGTGATTATCAATTGGACAAAGTAATGGAGAATCCCGATGCTCCCATACCTGAAAACATGAGGCTCGTCAAAGATGAAGATATAGAAAGGTAATAAAGTTTTTATAAAAAAAATGCACATTCGCCCCGCTGTATATGTCCGATACCATCAGTTTGCATATTTATGGATCACTGTTGTAGAATCTTAGGGACATAACATTTTAATGTGCTCTATGACGCACGAAAACCAAAGAAAACACTTAATATAGTCAACTATTGATATTATTGTTACGCGCTGCGGTTCGGGATAAATAAAATTCCACCAAAGTACAACTAAAAGCTGTATTCAATACTCAGAACACTTAAAACACTTCACAAACACTTTAAAATTCTCAATTCGCTTCTTCCGCTTCGCTTCAGGTGATCCGTTCACTGTTTTGCTTTGAGTAGTTCCGATAACTAACTGCCTGCGTGCCATCTCTGCAACGCTTTTATAGTCAAGACGAAATCCCTAGAATCGTCGAGAATATTCCACAAAAGTCTAGTATTGTGTTGTACAACTGACAATAGATGGCGTTGTACTTTTCGAGCGTTCTAGATACTACTAGATCCTTCGATATCCGTTCGACTATTCGGCGATAGATGGCGTTACTCTAACCGGCTTGATATTATTATTATAACCTTTTTTTAGATTGAAATCTGTACAAACTCCTGAAGAGCTGCGGGACGTACACGCTCATTTCCTGTTGTACTATTCCTGTGAACTTCCCGAAATGCAGAGAGTACAACGCATCAAGGAACGGAAGAAGGAACTTGAGGAACGAAAGTGAGTACTACAAGAAACTATTACGTCGAACTACTATCAAACTTTATTTTTAACTAGCTGACCCGGCAGATTTCGTAATGCCTCAGTCGATAAATAAAAGATCTAAACTTTTGTATAAAATAAACTTAAAACAAACAAAAGGAATCCGTCCGACGGGGGACACAGCAAAGGAAAAACAAAATTGTTATTTTTATTTCATTCCGAACAGTTTCATATTTATCCACCTTTTAAACCTTCTCTGAACCTCCACAAATAATTCAAGACCAAAATTAGCCAAATCGGTCCAGCCGTTCTCGAGTTTTAGCGAGACTAACTAACAGCAATTCATTTTTATATATAGAGATTATTGCTTAGATGTATTAACAAGCTCACAGCCCACCTGTGTGTGTGTTAAGTGGTTACTGGAGTCCATAGATAACGTAAATGCCACTGCCTACCTTGAGATATAAGTTCTAAGGTCTCAGTATAATTACAACGGCTGCCCCACCCTTCAAACCGAAACGCATTACTATTTCACCGCAAAAATAGGCAGGGTGGTGGTACCTAACCGTGCGGATTCACAAGAGGTCCTACCACCAGTAAAGAACTCGTCGATTACGAAGAAGAGTTTGATATGCGAACTGGCCTATAGATAACTCACCGAGTTTCTCGTTGGATCTTCCCACGCGATTCCGATCCGGTGGTAGATTCAGCTGAGGCTTTGCTAGGGCAACTTAGAAAACTTTCATAGGCTGAGCCCGGGAGCTCACCTACCAGCCGGTGAGTACCTGGAATAGCCCCCTAGGTTACCAGCTACCAGATAGGGAATAAAAATATGTGCGGGGAAGTGTCTACTAAAATCGATCTATTGTTACTGCAACTTGATCACGGATGGCGATGACCATGTATAACCAAAATTGTATTTGAAACGTGAGATTTAACCATAAGAGTATTTTTAATGATGTCTACGATTTGTGAGAGAATTGGAGTAAACACAAATAATAGCATATGTAAAATTGTTAATAATGTACGTATTTTAGAAAACTTGCTCGAGAAGAGGCCGAAAAGAACGGAGAAGATGCAGAGGAAGCAGCAGCAGCCATTGAAGCTATAGAACTTGACGAAGAAGACCTAACGGACATCAAATACGCAGCGAAATCGGGACCTTATGAACTGTGCAGGAAGGCTGGTATCGGTATGTCGGTGCATGACTTACGGTGCTACAGAATAATTAACATTATAACAACTTGACTCTTGCTTTGTGATGTGATGAAGAAACATTGAGTACATTTGGTATTAAAGATCTGTTGATTGTAGGACGAGAATTAAATAGCTCCTTCAGATGAACCAGTAATAATCGTGATATCGAGGGATGATTTTGGGCTATTTGGTTTAAGTGACATTTTTGCAACTCTACACGCGAACTATTTAAAGTTTAAACTTTGGAAAAAATAATCTTTGGCTATCTGAATGGGGTAAACTTAACTGAAATTCAATTAAAAACGTTTGATACTAGTACAAAATAAAACGGACCTATAATTACACAGATAAATGTCGCGTATTAAGCGAAATGTCAAAATAACAACACTTGCTTGTGCTGATATATTTTTGCCAACAGGCAAAATATTAATTTGGAATAAATTCTGCCGTTTTGGTACAAAACAAAGGAGTAGCCATTCGGAGAGCGAATTGCCAAAAACAGATTTCTCTTCGACATATGTTGACAACAAATTACTCCTAACATGTCACAATGTCTCACCACCCTACCCCAACGCAAAGATGGAAGAAACGAAAATTGAATTGAACTCGAGTGAAAAAAAACTGGTATCGATATTTAAGTTTGTCGAATAAAAAACAATAAATGACTTATGTAAGATTGATGTTTCGTTTGCAGAGCCCCTTGTTAAGAAGTTTGGTTTGACTCCGGAACAGTTTGCTGAGAACGTTCGCGACAACTACCAGCGGCACGAGGTGGAGCAGCAGCCTGTGGCGCCGCTGGAAGCCGCCGCCGAATACGTGAGTCATCACTCATCATTCTCCTGCCCTTCTCTCAGTCACCAGGAGTCTGTGCAACATGGTTTCTTCTTCCACACTCCTCTTAGGAGCTAGCAACATTTTCGAGGAGGACTTTTTGGCAGGAACGCGAGGAGTGAAGTTGTGTGATTTGTTTTATTTGGTCTATTTAGTGTTTCTTCAGGCTTAAATGTGTAATAACGGTGGTTTATTAACTGTTTAATATCTGTGAAAGTGCACAAATGTGGGAAAATGAAACAAAGCCGCTGGACGTAACTTCTCGGGATCCTACAAACAGTCCACTGAAAAAATCTCAGTCAATGATCACCATTTTATTGAAGTTATATCTCTCATATTATTTAATTTATTTTAATTTCATGCCATGTTTCATAATATTAATTAACTTCATTTCATTTCACTTCATATTATCATTTGCAGAGTTAATTGCTACATGAATCAAATTGCTTTTTCAACCTAATTTATCTATACCGTCCCCCTACTAGTTTAATTCATACTTACACTGATATTAATAATGGCCAACATAGACAGTTTCCTTCGTTTTTTATTATTTATAAACTGTAAATAATTAAAACGGCAAATTATATAATAAAAATCTTATTACTTGACACTGGCTAATGTACAAACCGTGCCGAAACAAAAAAAAAAAACGAGAGTAAGAAAATTGATTTTTGACATACGGTATGTGTAACGTATGTAAATCTCAAAGGCTGGCTACGGAGTACTATCGTCTATTGTACTGTGTGCTTAGTGTGAGTTTTTTAACGTTCTCGGAAGCGTAAAAGTTAAATCAAATTTGTTGCAGTTGGAACAGCACCCCTAGCGGCAAATGTAGGCAAACGTTAAAAAACCCGCACTAAAGCCTTGTTCAGACTAGGCGAGTATTTTAGTCGAGTACCGAGTAATTTAGTAGCTAAATGTGTCTGAACACCGAGTCTGAGCACCGATTTAGTCGAGTAGATTAGTAAATAATTTAGTCAAGTCAATCCATTTTGTTCTATTTTTATCGCGCGAGTAGCGCCTCCAACCACGCGTCCTTGCTCACTGGCTCACTGACTAAACAAGTCCGAACCTATTGATTAGTCGAGTTCATTAGTGGCACTTCTCAAATGGTATCTTTGCGCTGAATTTGAAAGTGTATTTTCGTTAACAGAAAATTCACCCAACTTTCGGACATTCTCAAACTACTGAAGTATTCTTTGGGATCTCTTCCAATGCTAATTCCTTCAGAAGACATTTAGTAGCTCCTAGTTTATCTCTTCTACCGATCCATTTTCGTACCGTACAGAAATATCCTCATCCACCTCTTCTAAAATAGCCATTACGATTAGCTTAATCAGTTTATTCACTCTATTGCGTTGCAGCCTGTTCATCTTGCAAAACACCCCTCAATTGTGTACTCTACTGGACCATAATGCAAACGATTTCTGTGCAGTAGCGAGTAGTTTAGCCACTAAATTACTCGGTACTCGCCTAGTCCGAACAAGGCTTAAGCGCTTTGGTCCGTTTTCAATATACGTTGTCGTACTACAGGTGGGTAACATCGGGTCGGCGGCGGAGGTGGTGCGGCGCGCGGTGTACATGTGCGGCGTGCAGCTCGCGCGGGAGCCGCTGCTGCGGGCCACGCTGCGGGACGCGCTGCGGGAGCGGGCCACCGTCTCCGTCAAGCCGACCGCCAAGGGCATCAAGGAGATCGACGAGAACCACGCCTGCTACAGGTGACGGACCACCTGTGCTTAACACTTATCACTAACCCTGCCTATTTCTGCCATGAAGCAGTAATGCGTTGCGGATTGAAGGGTGGTGCAGCCTGTAATATTCTGTGCTGATGTATAACATGTTGGTACCCAATAAATAAAATAAAATAAAATAATTAAAATTATGTACATAACTCAGTAAATAACCAAGCTACCATTGACTTATCAAATTAGTTTCCTAAAAAATTTGGCAGACTAAAAGCAATCAATTAGTTCTGAAAAGTTATTTTCACGTAAAAGATATATCTAAAAAAGAATACTATAATAAATTCAAATTAAGAGATACATATTATGTAAATTATATTTTATATTACGTATAAATGAAATTTTTTTGCGCCCAGTATGCCTATGCTTAGAGTGTAAATTGTATTTTAAAAAAATAATCTATGTTTTTGGTAGTGAATACTTTCAAATAGACGAATGGTGACAAAAATGGTACATATACTTTATATTATGCCTTTTTTTATTGCAGCCTCAAATATTTAAAGAAAAAACCAGTTCGAGACATTACCGGTGAACAGTTTCTTAAATTAACAATGGCAGCCGAAGACAAACTGTTAGTGGTCACCATCAGTGAGCAGATCGAGGGCAACACCAGCCCTAGTTACTTAGAGGAATTGAAACAGCTCTATCAAAAGGTACGTTAAGTAAAGCATATATCTGAGGATAGATATTATCAAATTGATTTCAACTTCTACCAATTTTGATTCCTAACAATTTGTGGATGATTAATTCAGTATTTAGAAGTATACTAGCTGTACCCGTCCGCTTCACTGGGCATTTAAAATCAACATTATTATTTCTCACCCTAGTTCCACGAAATAGAATAGGTTCAATATTGACGACAAAACAATACAAAAACAATGGTAGGAAGTTCCACGAAAGTTAAGAATGAGTCATAAAATAGCAGATGTTAAATTTGTAATTTGTTTTGTCATTTGTTCCTCCTAAATAATATAAATAAATAAAGCTCGACTGTTGCTTATAGAGGTATAGATAAGTAGCAGTCTCACTTACGGAGGTCCATGGGGAAAAACGACTCTCTTACAAAGGTTTCTGTTTCTCGCTAATAGAGGTTTTGAGAGCTTAAAATGACGGGTCCTGGCTATTACTCTCACTTACAGAGTTTTCTCACTTATCCATTTCTCACTTACCCAGGTTTGACTGTATATAGAAAGTATATTTGTAAAAATGTTGTTTTAGGACGAATTTGCTGCCACAGTACAAGCGTGGAATGAACTTCGCTCAGAGGCGGTCACCATTGCCTTGACCAAGATCGTCATGCCCGAGTTGAGAAGAGAACTGCACGCTGTGCTCTTACAGGAATCTAAAGATTATGTTCTCAAGTATGTATTAAGAGAATCAATTTTATGTAGTAGAACAACTCTATATTAACTAGACTTCTATAATGTTTTCTCACACCACCGGTACACATAACGGTGTTTGTTTAAGGAAATTTCTAAATGAATATTAAATTAATTTACTAAATTTAAGCAAGATTGTCTAATGGTGTAAAAATACAGGGTTTATTAATTGAATACCGAAATACTAAGATTTTTTGCTGTTATTTTTACTTTCAGCTATAGTAAGGTTTAATTTTAAATTATTTGTATCTTATCTATGTATAATCTGTCTTTGTATTTGATGTCGCAATAATTATAGTACAAATCTCTAGATAATTTAAGTTAATGTCTACGGTGCTGTTTGTCTTGACTTAGAATGCCTATAGGTTAACATAGATATTATTCTTTAGATAGCTATTAAGGTATTTTAATTAAACCAAAGAAAATATACAACACGAATTTAGATTATGCTTTTTTTTGAGACATAATAATACTTTTCTTTTTATAAAGGTGTTGTCGTCGGAGACTGTACGACTGGTTGAAAGTAGCTCCGTACGAGTCTAGAATATCTGATGATGATGATGAGTGGGACGCCTCCAATGGTAAGTGTTGTTGCAGACATATGTGTGGCTCTGCTTAGGGTCCGCTCACACGGACCGACTAGGAGAGGAGAGCAGATTTTTTATCACTTTGGAAACGGAGTTTTGAGTAATCGTAGTAAAGTTTATTTTTGCATGTGCACTTTTTTGTAATTAAGAATGCTCGAACGCGCTGCGTGTGAAATTCCGCGCTCTTCTCGCTTGCTTAGCCGATCGGCTCCGATTGCGTTCAGATCTCTTCCAGCCGGTCTATGTGAAATAGTTGGTGGCTCCGCTCCCGTCAATTCCAAACGTATACGATCCGGTCTGTATGAAAAGAAAAAAAGGGGCCGATGCTCTCCGAACCGATCTGTGAACGGACCCTTATCAATACCCTAGCGCCATCTAGTAAGCGCGCGCTCAAAATGTAATACATGTATAAATGCCGAGTAAAAAATAAATAAAAGAAAATTGTAATTTCATATTTATATGTTTACTCAAATATAATGCTTAATTCATTGCGTCAAGACTTACTTCGCAAAAATACGGTTTAACGGAGCCGTAGAACTCAAAGTGCGGCACATGCACGTAAAGAGGTCTTTGAGAAATGCCGCGTTCGTCCATGCCAATTTGAACCTTAAATTAATTTTATTAAACAGCCGAATTCGGAATGGTTGTTGGAGTGCTTTCAAACGAATGAAATCAGGGGTCCTTAGTAGTAATGCGACACTCATTACTACACCAATGTTATTAGGTATACATATTTCATGTTGAAACAAAAGTTACTATTGTAAGTGTCGCTAGTGGCGTGCCTTGCTTTAGCTGTACCTCGACACATTTAAGAAGAGCTCTGGAAACCATACGAAATGCATGCGAATCGGATCTCTGTACATGTTGGGTTGAGTTGTAACGCATGGCGCCATAAACGGATTTCCACGGTGAAGGAATATAACATCGTGTAATAAAAATGCAACCCGCAAAATTATAATTTGCGTAATTACTGGTGGTAGGACCTCTTGTGAGTCCGCGCGGGTGGGTACCACCACCCTGCATATTTCCGCAGTGAAGCAGTAATGCGTTTCGGTTCGAAGGGTGGGGTAGCCGTTGTAACTATACTGAGACCTTAGAACTTATATCTCGAGGTGGGTGGAGCATTTACGTTGTAGATGTCTATGGGCTCTAGTAACCACTTAACACCAGGTGGGCTGTGAGTTCGTCCACCCATTTAAGCAATAAAAAAAAAGGTACCACCGCCCTGCCTATTTCTGCCGTGAAGCAGTAATGTGTTTCGGTTTGAAAGGTGGCGCAGCCGTTGTAACTATACTGAGACCTTAGAACTTATATCTCAATGTGTGTGGCGTATTTACGCTGTAGATGTTTATGGGCTCCGGTAACCACTTAACACCATGTGGGCTGTGAGCTCGTCCACCCATCTAAGCAATAAAATAGAAGTGTCTGTCCGATAGGTGTGCGAGTAATGTCGGTGGCGTACGTGCCGGATCGCGCGCACAGTGCGTTCGCGTGCATCGTGGGTCCGGGCGGCGAGGTGGCGGACCATCTGCGGCTGCCGCACCTGCTGTACCGGCGGAACGCGTGGGACGCGCTCGAACGCCGCAACAAGGACGCCGACATGACCGCGCTCAGGAGGTAACGGCGCCCGACACACCAGGCCGACACACCAGGCTGAGACATCAGGCTGACACACCAGGTCGACACACCAGGCCGACACACCAGGCCGACACACCAGGCCGCCACACCAGGTCGACACACCAGATCGACACACCAGGCGGGCACACCTGGTCAACACACCAGGTCGACACACCAGGCCGACACACCTGGTCGACACACCAGGCCGACACACCTGGCCAACGCCACAAGCGATCAGAAAAATAAACAAATAGAGGATCTTACATGCTTACAGTGGCTGATTTATTAGTCAAAATTAGCGATTAGGCTTCCACGAAATACTTCATGATAATGGCTGATCGTAAACTAATAAGGAGAATCACAGACATCAGTAAGACACCGATGCGTGTAGTGGAGAACCAAAATATATTTAAGTTTCAACAAAATTCAACATGTATTACTACAGGTGGTAGGGCTTCTTGTAAAACCGCACCGGTAGGTACCACCATCCTGCCTATTTCTGCCGTGAAGCAGTAATGCGTTTCGGTTTGAAGTCTGGAGCAGCCATTGTACCGTAAAAATGCTGACTTAGAACTCTAGTCTCTAGATGGGTGTGGCGGCATTTTTGTTGTCGATGATTACGAGCTCCGGTAAATACTTAAAAATATGTGAGCCGTGAGCTTGTTCCATCATAGCAATAAAATCTCCAGCTAATTATGAATTGCGTTCACAATTAATATCGAGCACATAAGCAGACCTCCAAAGGACCCTACTTACTACAACCAAGACACGACTAATACGCAATTGCTGTGGCTCAGGTTCATTTGTCGCAAGAAGCCGCACGTGATCGTCATCGGCGGCGAGTCCCGGGAAGCGCTCAATGTCAAAGCCGACATCTCGGACTGCGTTCAGCAGCTGGTGGAGGACGAGCAGTTCCCGAGGATACCTATCGAGATAGCCGACAACCACTTCAGCAAGATTTACAGCAACAGCATACGAGGAAGGGTGAGCGCAATTGTTCACTTAACCAAAAAAAATTACGGCCAACAGCGGACCTCCCTTTAAGCCAGCGGTCGGGGAACTTTTTTAATTATTACCCCAAAATATTTTTGTGTAAGTTGATATTAATTACCCCATGTAGAAGAACAAAATAAACGCGCTTATTTTTAGCATCTTTCATATAATTTTGAAAACAATAACTAAAGATTTAATTTAAACATTATTTATTCAATTTATCAATGTAATACCTAGTAATATATAACGGTAATAATAGTAATATATGTAATATACAGTTGAGGAAAAAAAATCGCCCCCACAGAAATTATAAAGTATTTATCATTCATCATTTCATTTCGTTTCATCGAGTTTGAAATCACAACGATCCTAAAGAAGTTTCACTTCAATATATACTTTTTACTCACAAAAGTTTCATTTTTACTCCCCAAAATTTCATTTTACCCCATTTGGGGTAATTTACCCCGGCTCCCGACCGCTGCTTTAAGCGGTCCAATAATCGCATTTTTCTGTTTCAGAACGATTTCCGTGAATACCCAGACATCCTGCGTCAAGCCATTTGTCAAGGTCGTCTGCTGCAAGACCCGTTGATGGAAATATCGCAGCTGTGCGGCCCGGACGAGGAAATACTTTGCCTCCGATACCATCCGTTGCAGGATCAAATCGCCAAGGACGATCTGCTCGAGGGCATAGAACTGGAATTCGTGAACAGGGTCAACGAAGTGGGTGTCGACGTCAACGAGGCGGTGCTGACGGGCCGGGGGACCGAGCTGCTGCAGTATGTGTGCGGCCTCGGCCCGAGGAAGGCGCAAGCCCTGATAAAACTCTTCAAGCAGACCAACCAGAAGCTGGAGAACAGAACGCAATTGGTCACGGTGTGTCACATGGGCCCCAAGGTCTTCATAAACTGTTCAGGCTTTATCAGGATAGACACGAACAGCCTCGGCGACAGTACCGAGGCGTACATTGAAGTGCTGGACGGGTCCAGAGTGCACCCGGAGACGTACGAGTGGGCCCGCAAGATGGCGGTCGACGCTTTGGAGTACGAAGACGAGGACGCCAACCCAGCAGGCGCTCTGGAGGAAATCCTCGAGGCTCCAGAGAGACTTAAAGACCTCGACCTGGACGCGTTCGCTGAAGAGCTGGAGCGTCAAGGCTTCGGTAATAAGAGCATAACTCTGTACGATATTCGAGCGGAACTGAACTCTAGGTACAAGGATCTTAGGGTGTCGTATCGTTCGCCAACGCCCGAGGAACTGTTCGACATTTTAACAAAAGAGTCACCTGATACGTTTTACGTGGGGAAAATGGTCTTAGCGTCTGTGATCGGCATCACGCACAGGAAACCGCAGCGGGAGATGCTGGACCAGGCGACGCCCGTTAGAAACGACGAGACGGGGCTGTGGCAGTGTCCGTTTTGCTTCAAGAATGATTTTCCTGAGCTGTCTGAAGTGAGTTTTAATATTTCGTCTTCTCGCATCAAAACTATAATCTCAAAACTTCTAACTTTACAGGAGAATGTTTTAAATGTTTAACATGTGATATTTTTAATATTAATCATCTTTGCAACATTTATTTGTTATTTTTCACCAGTTACGTTATATGTCTTTTCAAGTAAGATAAAATTATGTATTAATTTTGTTTATAGTAGTCAAAACATAGGTAAACTAAAAAAATAAACATAAAACTAAACTACGCTCTTTTGACAGCATTTATGAGAAATATACTTACTGGTGATACCGAATGTTTCCGCATATTAACTCATTTCGAATATTTTTTGAAATTGTACACTTTTAATGCGAAAAGCAGATTTGTTCACAAACATGTTGTTATTTTCTTACTTACTATAAATTCAGTTATTGTAATTAGATATTTTTATCAGTCAGTGTGTTTGTACACAATAACTTCATAATGAGTGGGTGCACTTGGATGCGGTTAGGATATGTGAACTTTGATTAAGATAATGGTTAAATAAATTTATTTCCACGTACGTAACAAGTAATATCTGGGCAGTTCGAGAACACATGTCACACGGAGTAGACGAGCTCACGGCCCACCTGATGTTAAGTGGTTACCGGAGCCCATTGACATCTACAACGTAAATGCCGTCACCCACCTTGAGACATGAGTTACTGTTGTAAGGTCTCACTTTTTAATAGTACAACGGCTCCCCCGCCCTTCAAACCGGAACGCATTACTGCTGCACGGCAGAAATAGGCAGAGTGATGGTGGTACCTACCCGTGCGGACTCACAAGACGTCCTACCACCAGTTCACTAAAACTACGCATAGTCTCTGATCAATGGTTGTTACTGTATTTTCTCAAATGTAAAATTATTAGGTATGGAGCCATTTCGACGCGGGTGCGTGCCCGGGCCAGGCGACTGGCGTCCGGATCCGGCTGGACAACGGCCTGTCCGGTTACATACACATCAAGAACCTGTCGGACCGCCACGTCACGGATCCGACCGAGAGGGTCCGCATCGGGCAGACGGTGCACTGCCGGGTCATAAAGATCGACGTCGAACGCTTCTCCGTGGACTGCACTTCAAAGTCTTCGGACTTGTTGGATAAGAATAATGAATGGAAGTGAGTTTAGAGGATTTATTTATTTATTTTTTATTGCTTAGATGGGTGGACCAGCTCACAGTCCACCTGGTGTTATGTGGTTACTGGAGCCCATAGACATCTACAACGTAAACGCGCCACCCACCTTGAGATATAAGTTCTAAGGTCTCAGTATAGTTACAACGGCTGCCCCAACCTTCAAACCGAAACGCATTACTGCTTCACGGCAGAAATAGGCAGGGTGGTGGTACCTACCCGCGCGGACTCACAAGAGGTCTTACCACCAGTAAAAGTAATGCGTAAATGAGGTTCACAACTTATCTAATATTAAGTGACTATGTGAACCCATGTAGTATTGGGATTGAAATAAAACGATTCCACTGTTACACTTTTATTCATCTTTTCTAAAATCTTCTTTATTATAAATAAAAAATCAACTAACGCCTTTTACGCCTTACTCCATTATAATTGTCTTGGCCATTTCCCTTTTCTTTGGTCATTCAGTGTGCCATTATCTTTTCCCTTTCTTACCGTATTCTCTCACTCACATCTTAACGCTCCATTCCACACTCTTTTCATACGTTCCATTCTTACCAATCCTAAATATATATAAATGTCACTACCAACCTTGAGGCATGAGGTCGAAATATCAATTGAGTTATATATCTCACTATTGTAAGTGGAACAGGCATAGTGCCGATGCCTAAACAATATCTACTTTATATTATTTCAATGAATTTGAAAATGTTACATAACATTTCAAGTTTGGTGACAATCTGTTTGTATTGTTTGTTGAACGCTTAATAAGCCGATTTGATTGTATAAAATTAATTTAAAAATCCATTGTTTCAGTATAGAACTAATTTTTAATTTACAGACCTCCAAAGGACCCTTACTACGACCAAGAAACGGAAGACAAAGATATACGCAAAGAAAAAGATGCAAAACAGAACAAGGATCGCATGCAGTACGTAAAACGCGTGATAGTACATCCGGCATTCCACAATATTTCGTTTGCGGAGGCTGAAAAGCTTATGGACAAAATGGCACAGGGAGAGGTCATCGTGAGGCCTAGTAGTAAGGTAATGATGTTTGTATGATGTAAAATTTTTTTCAGCAGAAATATGAATTATATTTCATTAAATCGTTGCTGTTTCTTTAATCGTCGTAGTGGTCTGGTAATCTGTAGTGGTCGCTAATATTAAACTCCATTTAGATTTAGCCCATTTCGATCTGGTATCGAGATGAATTTAGGATTAAGATTTATTCCTTTCTTTCCTATATCGGTTGACATACGAAAAATGTTAATTTTTTTTATTTGTTTGAAATATTAGAAGTACGCTTGTTTGAAAATTTTATCATGCTATTAGGGACACTCTTTTATTTATGAAGGTACATTATTTCCCTTCATCTGGATCAAAATCAGTATGATTTGTACCAAGGTGTTTTTAAATTTATGGTAAAAATTTTGACAACGAATTTAACGGATTTAATGTTTATTTACTATTTTTACAGGGCTCTGACCATTTGACCGTAACATGGAAAGTGACTGACGGAATTTATCAACACATCGACGTGAGGGAAGAAGGCAAAGAAAATGCTTTCTCATTAGGTAAAGTAAATGACTGTTTTTTTTTAAATAATTTTATAGAATTTTCGTATTTGTTACGAACGTAATGTATTATTATTTATTGTTTCAGGTCGAAGTCTTTGGATACAGGGATCCGAATTTGAGGATTTGGATGAAATAATAGCTCGTCACGTGACACCGATGGCGGGGCACGCCCGAGATCTCATTGCGTATAAATACTATAAGCCTCTCGGCGGGATCAGGGATAAAGCTGAAGAAATACTCAAGGAGGAGAAAGCCAAAAACCCTAACAAAATTCATTACGTTATCTCGGCCTCGAAGAACTATCCCGGGAGATTTCTACTGTCATATTTGCCGCGGGCGCGGTGTACGCACGAGTACGTGTCCGTGTCGCCGGACGGGTACAAGTTCCGGCAGCGGATGTTCGACTCTCTTTCGGGATTGCTCAAATGGTTCAAAGAACATTTCCGGGAGCCGCCGCCATCCGGCACGCCGGCACAGCGCGCCGCCGCAGCTCGCACGCCGCACGGCGCTGCTTCCGCGTTATATCAGACTCCCGCCGCCCACACGCCGGCCTTCCACACACCCGCGCACACGCCAGGACCTGCCTATATTAACACCCCCTACACACCATCCGCGCAAACGCCCTACATGACGCCCTTCGCGTCCACGCCGCGGCAGACAGATTTCTTGACGCCTGCGGCACCGCGTCACAAGGCGGCACCGGCGGCTGCCTACACCGAGCCCGCTGACTGGCAGAAGGCAGCCGAAGACTGGGTGCGGCACCGCGGTGGGTCGGCTCGCGACACCCCGCGCCGCACCCCGCGACACGACGCGCGCTCCACCCCGCGGCACGACGCCCGCTCGACGCCGCGCCAGGACGCGCGCTCCACGCCGCGACAAGACGTCCGTTCGACGCCGCGACAAGACGTCCGCACGACGCCGCGGTACGACGCGCGCTCGACGCCGCACTCGCAGATGTACACGCCGACGCACACGCCGCACACGCCGCGCTCGTCCCGCACGCACTCGGCGCGCTCCACGCCGCACACCAACACGTCGCCGCGCTCCATGTCGCTCGGCGACGCGACTCCACTCTACGACGAAAATTGAACCCTCAATCCACTTATATTTTTGGACCGCAACGTACTGAATTAATTATTCTTATTACGGCTCCCCTTATAGTGGGCTCTCGTCCTCTCGTGTAGTGGAATTCTCGATACGGGCTATCGCTTTGGCTTCGTTTTGCTTTTATTCAGTTTCGCGAGACAGGTCGATCGACGTGTTTTGATAATTTCAAATAGTTTAAGATCCTAATTTTTTAAATAAAATCACACAATGTTACTTACTAACTACATGAAACTAAAGTCATTCAACGAACCTGAATATTTAAAAGAAAATCCGTCAAGCTGTCGTGTTCGTGGGAACTCGATTAGGGCCTTAAGTATTTAAGTACATTTAGGAACGATTATAAAATCAACGGAAAATATTGTTTAAAAATATTTATAATAATGAAATAGCTCTTCATTGATCAATAGAAGTATGTATGTACATATATACGAAATTGTAAGCAATGTTGCTTTTAAATAAAACAGTATACTGTTTTCAGCTTCTGAAAGAGATAAATAAAACTATTTATATAACAAATTGTACGATCATACGTCACTTTGCTGGTTTCAATTTGTCTTTTTTTTATTTCTTGACAATTGTTAAAAGTAAAAATGTTTATGATGTTACGACGCTACAGCTCTGATATTGTTGTGCAAAATAGAAGTATGTTATATATAAATAAATATTTATACAAAAATGCGTAATTCGTTAAGGCGCAAAATAAAAGCAATAATAACTGATAGTTAGTTAAATTACATTCAAGCCTCACGTTTCAAAGTATATAACGTTATGTATATTTAAAAAAGTGCTAGGTTAGTGTAAACTACCCTATAACTACTATTTATAGTACGCACTTCAGGTATCTATAGAATTGCCGGAGTCTTTTCGCAGAGCCTTTGGTTAATTTAAAAAGGTATAAAATAAACTAATTTTTTTCATAAAATATTTGTTTTTTATTATTTGTTTGCATGTTTTTCATAAATGAGTGAAATAGTTCATGGTCCACTTGGTGTTGAACTGTTATCGGAACTCATGGCCGTCGCAACGTAAACGCGCCATCAACCTTGAGACATGAGGTCTGAGTCTCAATTGTATAGTAATGGCTGCCCGACTCTAAACCGGAATTTATTACTGCTTCATGGTCGAAAACATAGCTACCCCTCAGTGTACTTGGTGCGATTTTTTAACTCCACGATCGCTCGATCGATAAAAGGTATAGGATCGAAAAGTTAACTAAAAGGACATGGGCCATTTTCGGCCCAGCTACTCGTGCTCTCAAGGACATTAATGAAATATCTAGAGAAAAATAAACGTGTGGCATTCTGGAACTGCTGCGGTAAAGCTATTGCATAGCATTTTTTATAAACTTATGCAATTGTAATTAGATAATGATAATTTAATATTAAAACAATAATAAAACAAGACCACGCTATATTAAACATTAATAAAAGCAAAACCTTAACTGTCCCCTTCACACTCATAAGCTAGACCGCGCGAGAGAGAGATGGGCAGACTTCATGATGCGCATGCAGTGTGACGTCACGCCACGAGCTTATTAACAAACACTACACAAGCGCAACGTGTGAATGTGTTGAACGCGAGCTACATGGTAGACGGAGTGAGGGGTGTAGGGTTTTTTTCGTTACGGAATTTCATGATTCGGTCGCCACGCTCAAGGCCCGCGATAAAATCTACGCAATAGCTTAAAAACATTTTATTTTTAAATACTTATTATAAAATTTAAGGGTATTTTAATGGTGGGATATTTAAAATCATAAATGAAAAGATATTAGCATGACTAAGCTACATGATAATATTGAAGGAGTTGCCATTGGTAAAATATATTCGTATTTTAAACAATTCACATTGAAATTCGTTTAATGGGCCGTGCAATGTATGGAAAGTGGCCCATGTCCTTTGTATGAGTCAGCATCGATGCGCAACTTAGATAAGGCGGCACGACACGAGAACCCTCTCATTGTGGCCGTCGGTAACTATATTTCCGATCCTGCGGACAGAATGGAAAGCAGTCGATGTCGCCCCAAACACATCATTTCAGATCCTCCCGATCCACTAACGGTGCTTTTAGATACCTCAAGCACCGGTCACCGTCCTCGTTGAACCCGTCGCTTACGACGAAGGGTTCGACGAGTAAATTAGCCCTCAGACACAGACCACTGAGTTTCTCGCCGGATCTTCTCAGTGGGTCGCGTTTCCGATCCGGTGGTAGATTCTGCGAAGCACGGTTCTTGCTAGGGTTCGTGTTAGCAACGTCGTCAGGTTTGAGCCCCGTGAGCTCACCTACTAGTTAAGGTTACGCTGAAATAGCCTCTCAAGGCTCTCAGCTTAGGTAGGGAAAAAAAAACCTGTGTATGGAGTTTGAACAGCGCCCCTAGCGGCAAACGTGGGAAAGCTTCAAATTGGAACGCATTAGGATTGCAGCGAGCGTTTTATCCCTTAAATCAAAACGACTTCAATAGTAATATGTCATGTTTATTTTTCTTTTTTAGCATAGAATACTTGTTGCAAGACTAGATTTCGGACCTTTATAGTTCCTAATTTACATATCCAGTTGATCCTGCTGAGAATATTGGGCTAAAGTAATAAAATTATGAACATTGGTCTGCGATACATCTGTGGCGTTTAAGAACGCACCTTTTTATGATGCGTAAGCCGGAACGCACGAGAGGTGGAAAAAAGAATATAGTCTGTGACACGGGACCTTTTTACCGCCGAAAATTTGAAACGTAAAAATAATTTATAACGTGTATGTAATATAATTACTTAGAATTGTTTATACCACTACAACAATAAAATTTGTATTGTTTCAACTGTGGTGTTAATTACATAAAACACGACTTTACGGCGAAATAAAGAAGGGACTCTATATGGACACACATAAAATTTACACACATCTATAAAATTTTAATTTTCAGGGCACGTCTTGATGTTGGTGTGCGTTACGTTAAATGATTCCTTTACGTACATACAGGTCAAGGTTATAAAAGTTTTTCAAAATCAGGAAGTATTCGATCGAGGCGGTTTGTTTTTAAATTATCGATAAACAAAAACTATACACTTATTTATAATCGAGTGATCTTCCAATGATCAAAAAGTAGACACTTCAACATTAACATTACATCTATTAATCAAATTTACCCTCGCGTTTCGTTAATAACGTTAAGTAGAAAAAAAATTTAATCTTTTCCAAAATTGTAGCCACTAAATAAGACAAAAGAAAATTTTATAAACTCAGGAGAAATTGATATGGTAATTGACTGTTTTGTTGTTGCCTATAAACATATATTTAACATAATAATATTGGATAATTGAAAATGTAAATTGTGAAAAATAATATGAAGCCTTTTATTGTTACATCTTCGCGCGAGTGTTTGCTTCGCCAGTAACACGTAGGCATTTTTTTATTGCCCTTGTAGGAAGACGACCATACGGCCTACCTGATGGTGAGTGGTTACCTTCGCCCATGGACTTCAGTAATGCCAGGGGTCGAGCCAAGCCGTTGCCTACCTTTGAGTACTCTCCACAAGCCTCGTTTGAAGAAATACAAGTCATAGCGCAAATTGTACAAATACATCTATGTTCGTGTATCATGCTCGACTTCTGCAAGTGCATCATCTCGCAGAAGGAGGGGGCGGGGCGCGTGAGAGACGCACAAGCCGCCGCCGTCGAGCGGAGGCAATCGAGGCGTATTTCGCCCAAGCCCTGGCCCTCTAAGTGTTTCGGGTCCCCCTCACATGTTGGTCTGGGGACCGGCGAGGGGGGCTTAAGAAGACGACGTGCAAGCTGCTCTGCACGCATTTTACGCAAGAGCATCCGGGTGATGGAGGCCTGGCTATCCTCGACCCACGCTGGCTTAGTCTAGCGATACGTCGGTGTTCGAATCCCGCTGGCAAGTACCAATTTTTCTAATGAAATACGTACTTAACAAATGTTCACAATTAACTTCCACGGTGAAGGAATAGCATCGTGTTGTAAAAATGAAACCCACAAAATTATAATTTGCGTAATTACTGGTGGTACTTGTGAGTCCGCGCGGGTAGGTACCACCATCCTGCCTATTTCTGCTGTGAAGCAGTAATGCGTTTCGGTTTGAAGGGTGGGGCAACCGTTGTAACTATACTGAGGATCTTAGAACTCATATCTCAAGGTGGGTGGCGCATTTACGTAATAGACGTCTATGGGCTTCAGTAAGCACTTAACACCAGGTGGGCCGTGAGCGCGTCCACCCACCTAAGCAATAAAATAAAAATAAAAAAATGCTTTGAAAAATTATGTTTTTTAGATAGTAATAGATAGATAGATTAGTGATACTATGGAACTTCAATAATTTATTAAAATTAAATTACAGCGTGAGGATTTTTAATGGGGCCAAGTCCAATGGTCTGCCACCGGCTTCGGGTGGCAATAGATATGCCACTGATCGCTGGTAGTGTCATGCCAGGTGTAGTCTGCCTATAATGGCAAAAATGAATGTAGATTATTAATTATGATTATTAATGTATATTTTTAGATTATTAATTTAATTTATGTAATGTAGATCGCATCATTGATCCACTAATGCCGATCTATTGCACAACATGGTTAATATTCGATATAATCTCGAACAAAGTTTTATGATATTCGGAGTCAAGATGTCCAAGATAAGAATATCTTGTATCTGTTTCTGGTATCCATAAAGCAGGAGAAAAAATCTTAGTTTATGATCGTTTATTCATAATGTATTTATTTAATGATTTTCGTACGTGATTTCGTGTTGATTGTTTTCAATGTCACGTGCGACAAAACAGTTCTCGATTCTTTTGTTGCTGAATTTCTCGAACATTAAAAATTCTTATTTTGTTAGCTAATTGCGTTCATAATTATGAAAAATACAATATAGTTTTTACTTTAACTTTTGCTTCGCTTATTGTCAAAACAATGTAGTTAAGAGAATTTTGTTTGCGTCATCCACATTATTGTTATTACTGGCATCGATGAGATGATGATTATGGTTTACGTGATGTGATTACTAATGCCTCACAGATATCGCCTTACGTACATACATACATACGCACACTGATTTTATAATTTTTAAACAGTCCACTCGTGTATATCTAGGTATCTGTTAGCTACTGAGTATTGTTTTTGCTTTTCTTTCTATTATGTTTAATGGGTGAAGGACCTCGTGACCTGATCTGCTCTGGTCTGTTCTTAATTAGATACAGGAGTCCATAGACAGCACGAGCGAAATACCGCCACCCGCCTTGAGGTACAAGATTGAAGTCCCAATTTTATTGTGTTACGGCTGTTTAATCTTAAAAACCCAAATGTGTGACTGATTTGCAGCAGATATAGGTCGGATTGAGATATTATTTCCGTGCGATTTCAGAAATCGTTTTTAAATCAGTAAATTAACATAGTGTTTTACTATTCCTTTAATATAATTATGTTATGAATGTTTGTTTTTATAATGAATTTGTTTTCTTCTTTTATTCGTTTCCTGATTGTTGAAGACGGTGACACTTCTCATAATCGGTAATCTTTTCACTGTTTCTGTCCACCTATTCCTATCTCTTGCCTAGTGGAGAGCTTCGTTGACCGGCATTTGTACATAGCTCCTGAACCACCTGGTCAGAACACTGACCTAGAACAGCGGCCTAGGCCTTTTGGTGTATATAATTTACATACTTTGCACCTTTTAGGGGTATAAAATCCTAGCGTGTTTTTGTTGGCTTGTGAATAATTGTTTTCAATTTTCATTTTCATTTTCATTTTGTTCCCTTACACACACAGTCTAACCTAACCCATGAATCAGCTCGCTGAGTTTCTCGCCGGATCTTCTCAGCGGGTCGCGATTCCGATCCGGTAGTAGATTCATTCGCGAAGCAGGTGCTCTTGAGTTGTTAAGTCTCCTTCAGTGGCGCTCGGGCATCTGTTAGCAAATCCCACCCCTCCTGGCTGAGCCTTTGCTCGCCCATCTGTCCTGGTGAAACTGGAAAGGCCTCCGGGCCACCAGTAATCCATCAATTCTAAAAAAAAAAAACACAGTCTAGAAATTATTGCGATACATTCGAATACAAATTTTTAACGAATAACTCTCAGGCTGTACATTAATAAAATTAATTTTCGAAAAGGATTTGATGGCAGCTTCTAGTAAACATCCGGTTGACGATGGTTTTAGTGTTGCTGATTTGCATGAGCCAAGGCCGTGGACCATGGGTGGCAAGGCGCCACCAGTGATGATAAAAAGATCCGACGGCAGCGTTGAATATTAAGATATTCTAATTGCTTCTCGTTAAGTTTGCAGACCAAACACGTTCTCATTCTATATTTGTCGTAATTTTTTATTTAACCACAACTACACATCAAATTAAACATCAGGTTTTTATTTGAAGCGTAAGGCTTGCCGGTTTCTCTTAAAATGTACCTAAACATTTTAATGCGTCTTCCCCTATGAAATTTCCGTTTTATCAATTGCCATTTTGAACGTAACTAGATGATTTTTTTGATAACGCCATCTTGTTGTGTCTTTAAAACGGTTAGTTGCCCTCAATTAAGCAAAATAGTATTATTATTCGCCAATAGATGTCGGGAATATTTGATTATTGAAAACACGAATAAAACAACATTTTCTGAAAATAAATCGTAGCTAGATTGATTTATCGCCCCCGAAATCCCCTGTATACTAAACTTTATGAAAATCGTTGGAGCCGTTTCCGAGATTCAGATTATATAAGTATATATTAATATACAAGGATTGCTCGTTTAAAGGTATAAGGTGTATGTATGGCAGGCAATAAATTCCAAATTAAAAAGAATTTAATTAAAACATTTGGAATTCTATTTTCACATGCAATTATTAATTGATTAGTGTTTTGTTCTCAGTACGTTTGTATATTTTTCATCAAGACACGATAAAAATACGAGTAATTATGGAATAAGAGTTCCGTCGCAGTAGCATTGCCGCACAAACGACTCACTACATTAGTGTTCGGAGTGAGCACTACGAGTATAAGTCTTGTCATCTAAAGCCTTCGTCAAACAGAACGCGTAATTAGCGCGCGTCAGAGCGCTAAACTAACGCCGCGCTATGACGCCGAGATGTGTTGTACTACTATGGTAACATACCGTCAAACAGAGCCCCAGCGCTATAAGTACGCAGCGCTCTGTCGCGGCGTTATGACGCTTTGACGTCAGGCGTTGTAATTTTTTACAAATTTTATTTTAGCGTTCGAGTGAATGTGTATTAAAATACTAGATGATGCCCGAAAAAATGATATACATAGTTAGAAAATACTCATGCTTATACAATGCCACATCTGAATTACTCGATTTCTTAATACTTTTAAATTTTCACACTGCTATCGAAAGGCACTATGATTTGGCGAATGCGTTGCGTCAAGGAGCGTTAGACTCATCTAGTCAATTTGAAGAGCGCGACGTTAAGTACGCGGCGCTAAGTACGCGTTCTGTTTGACGAAGGCTTTATTGTCATGTGTACGCACGTGATCATGTAAGAGCAAAAGTTAATGTATGGAACGAATGTTTTGTCAATAATGAAACTCGAAACAGACTCTTAAACTGAAGTTTATGAATACGGGAATCCTGTTAAGCGGACTAAATGAATTTGTTACGATTCTAAGCTGTCCGTCTCATTTTAAATGGTTAATAAGGCTGCCTGTTGTTTTTCTATTTCTCACAAATTGTTTCTAAAATTTTTTAGTAGCTAATCATTTACATAGTTTGACTTGAACGAGCATTCCGATTCTTACTATTGTGGAGCGAAGTTGACTGCCGTAAATATTTTAATTTCTTTATTACGAAATTGGCTTAAGGGCTTTAGAAAATGCACAGATACATAAATAGATTTGAATTCGTAATCATTATTGACGCGGTTCTTTTAAGACTTAAATTGTATTGACGTTTAGATAATATCTTTTTAATTGATATACATATTGATTGTCTAAAAGTGAACCCGAGACAGTATTTATTTAAAAGAAAAGTGTTCTTTGGCTTTCCTCAATTAAGTTCAGCTTCAGTGAAGCGTTAGATATGATGACACGTTCGTTTTGTTACCTCTATGCAACAAGATTAAGTAGTCATTTACAAGAACAGTTTTGTTTTGTGAACCACTAGCGTCTACCGTTGTGTGTGTTTTTTGTTTGGATATTAGATAAATTATTTTAGTCTTATTTAAATAGGAAAATAATACAAAAAATTGGAGCGTTTGAGTTTTTAAATAAACTTATAATTCGAAATGGCGGAAGAAGTAAACAGTAAGAGAGAGGTTCAGGTGCACGGAACTGGAAGAATAGTGAAGAATGTTCTGGTGATAAGTCTGGCGTTTATGACGCAATTCACTGCGTACAGCGTAAGTATATTTTAATAGCGTTTCAGTGTGACCATTGGTAAATGTGTATTCGAAATACAGCAATATGTTAAAATAATTCGTTACAATATAACTATATCATAGTCCATCTTCCAACAGCTTAAAAGGCAAATATAGCAATGGTTTTGATCAAAACATTACCAGGCACTTAATTCGTAACATCAAAATAATCCCAGACCCCCGTATTATAAGTGCTTTTGTTAAGTTTATTACTACTAACTCTATAAAATTATAATTATATGTAGTGCATTATTCTCTGTACATAATTTTTATTATAATATGTACGTTTATAGAGTAACATTAATTTTGTGTTAGTCCCAGGCACCATTATTATTGCCAAAATTGGATACTTTTCATAATATAAAGTGTGTTTAAATAGCTCGACAATGTTCCATGTGTAGCCATAACACGACAGTGGCAGAAACTGCTGAAAGTATCGGCAGATTGCCATTAAAAAAAAAACATCAAAATAATCAAGATTTGTAGTATTTTTCCCTGTTTCAGCGAGTCGTAGACACAATAAAAAACTAATTTTACGATTTACGAGTATTCTCACGTTTTTTTTAACTGTAATTTTATTATTTCCAATGCTTCGAACACTACAGTTTTCGTTATCACGGACGGACGTGCCTCGAGAATGATGTAATAACAATAAAAACAATAACAAAAACCGCGAATTCAAACCGTACCTATCAATAATAAAATGCTTATTACTATACCACTGATATTCTAAAATCGATATCAATGTTCGATTATAATCGATTTCAATACGTGCTATTATGTAAAGCAGTGACTGATATAAATTATATTTAATAATAAACGCCTACAGTCCAACAGTCCCGTTTTGATTAAGTTAACAGATATTCTCGATTATTTATTGCAATAGTAATTACATTGTAGTAATTGATTTACCTAAGTGTTTTTTTATTGCCACCGATAGGCAAACGAGTTTAAGGCCAAACTCATGGTTGCTGATTGCCAAGGTCCATAGGCTTCAGAATAAATCAGAAGAAACAGTCCAGAAACATTACATTAAGCTCGCACGCACCCTATTAACCTTGAAGGACAATTCGTCTTCTCGCATTAAAACTGTATAATCTCAAAACATACTAATTTTACAGGAGAGTGTTTTATAGGTTGAACATGAGATATGTTTAATATTAATCATCTTTGCAACATTTATTTGTTATGTTTTACCAGTTACATTATCTGTCTTTTAAAGTAAGATAAAATGTTGTATTAATTTTGTTAATAGTAGTCAGAATATAGGTAAACTAAAAAAAAAAACTAAAACTAAACTACGCTCTTTTCACAGTATTTATGAGAAAAATACTGGTGATACCAAATGATTCCGCATATTAACTCAGTTTCGAATATTTTTGGGAATTGTACACTTTTAATGCGAAAAGACGAATTGGCGAGAGACTGTTAGAACCACCTGGGGGCTCGCAACAAAAAAAAATCTATGATGTTTTATTTAAACCCTGCGACAGGATTAAGCAGGAAAACGCTATATAGCTGTTTAAGCATTTGATATCTCCTAATTATGTGTTTGCGTTTACCAAAACGGTTCCATATTTTTTTTCCCTGTCTATCCGCTGGTAGCTTAAGGAATTATTCTAGCTATGCTCTGTCTGGTAAGTGAGCTCACGGGCTCAACGTGAGAGAGTTTGCTAAAATCTGCCCTAGCAAGACAAGCATGGACATCATAGACATCAACTTTCATGCCGTAAGTCACTTTGTGACACGAATTCTATAATACAACAGCTGCCCCACCATTTAAGAAGGCTTTGCCCTTGGCATTGCTGAAGTCCATGGGCGACGGTAACCACTCATCATTAGGTGGGCCGTATGTTCATCTGCTTACAAAGGCAATAAAAAAAAAAACTGAACGTAGGTATTACTGCTTCGCTGCAGAAATACGTAAGGTAGTTCCTACCCGTTCACAAGACGCCTGATCACTAGCCGTTTAAACTAGTCATTAGTCTTATAAAACTAGGAATTGTTTTTTTTTGTTACTACGCTTTTTTTATTAGCTATAAGACGTATGTATGTTTGTAACGGAATCTTTGAACATGATCTTGACCCCCTTCAAAACGTCGGATTTACTCGAAATTTTGGTATACTTATTAAGGACCGATGACAATTCAATATAAAAAAAAATATTTAAAAAATTGAAATTCAACTATAAAATGAAAAATAAGTAATATGTAGTTTAAAAAAACTAACAAAAGGTATTAGTAGTTATAAATATTTTATGAACAGATATGAGTAGAAGGGTTATTTTGATAATATCCTGAAAAGCACCCCAGGTTTTTTTTTATTTATACAATATAATAATCTTTTTTTCTTACACTATTTTTAATTCAAATTTATTAAAAATTATTTTCTATTTTTTAGTTGGATTTTCTATAAAAGCGTATTTTGTTAGTTTTTTTAAAGTATTATTTATTTTTTCAAGAAATGATTCGTATTTAGGGTGCGGCGAATCTACAGAGCTCGATAAACGCTAGTGCTGGCCTCGGAACTGCCGCGCTGGCCGCCGTGTACGCGGGACTCATCCTCTCAAACATATTCCTGCCCGTATTTGTTATCAAGTGAGTAGACACTTTTTTACTGGTGGTAGGACCTCTTGGAAGTCCGCACGGGTAGGTATCACCACCACGCCTATTTTTGCCGTGAAGCAGTAATGCGTTTCGGTTTGAAGGGTGGGGCAGCCGTTGTTACTATACTGAGACCTTAGAACTTATATCTCAAGGTGTGTGGCGCATTTACGTTGTATATGTCTATCAGCTCCACTAACCACTTAACGGCTGTGAGCTCGTTCACACGTCTAAGCAATATAAAAAAAAGAAGCAATTATAATTAATTTAAAAAAGTAGTTATTTTTTTATTACTACATACTTATATTTATTATTTATTTTTATAGTATACATATATATCATACTCATCGAGGAAATAAAATATATTTCGGAATCACGTAACATAACTGAACATATAATACCATTACCTAACCACTATTTACTTACTCGTAACAATTTTCCTTAAATTACCAAATCTTTGTTCAAGAACGACTTCTAACAAGGTCTGCAAGGTCAAGGCAAAACAAAAAGAACATGGGCCATATTCGGCCCAGCTCCTCGTGCTCTCAAGGACATTAATGAAATATCTATAGAAAAAAACATTACATTTTTACATACTTATTATAAAATTTAAGGGTATTTTAATGGTGGGATAATTACAATCATAAATAAAAAGAAATTAGCATGACTAAGCTACAATGATAATATTGAAGGAGTTGCCTTAGGTAAAATATATCTATATTTTAAACAATTCACATTAAATCTTCTTAAAAAATCATTATATTAATTTAATTATAGTAATAGAAATAATATTTAAGCTGATGATGATGCTAAAGTGTCACTGTATTGACAGCAAAATCATATGATAGAACCTAAAATTCTTATCTCATTTTTTAAATATCTCTGTATCCCCATGACCAATATTGATTTTAATTTGTTTATAATAAAAGGGATATATAGTTGTTTTTTTAAACTTAATTTCATTACTGTCCTTGAACTTCGTTTAGTGGGCCGTGCAATGTATGGAGAGTGGTCTATGTCCTTTGGAACTGTTTCGAATTTCTGGTTTCCAGGTGGCTCGGTACGAAGTGGACAATATCCTTCTCCTTTCTCACATATATGCCGTATATAGCGGCGCAGCTGTATCCCCGATTCTACACCATGATTCCGGCGGGACTGCTCGTGGGCCTAGGCGGCGGGCCTCTATGGTGTGCCAAATGCACTTATTTATACGTCGTAAGTAGAAAAGTAACTAAACTAAGTTTCCGTAACAAGTACAGGAGCGTGATAAAGTTTTCATGAGTATACAGAATGTTATAAACAGTTTTTCGAGATAATCCTGGGGAGGTATACGACTAAGGGAAGATCTTCTACCGAGCGGATGATGTTGCTCGGTAGACCGATGGCCCAAATGTTGTTGTTCGGAGCTTATTTTGAAAATATCGTAAGCGAGATTCAGGCATCTGTCAAATATCTTGCGTTGTATGATGGCTACACGCCACAATCTCTTCTCGATCCCTTTTTTCCATCGCACCAGATCGAATGAAAATTCATCTACAGTACATATTCAAAGATCAAACTGGTTCTTTTTTAGCGTAGATGCAACGGTGACTCGCGGCTTTCCTCATTGTCAGCTTGTTCAAGGCCCTTTTTCCTATCTAATCACCGGTGTGCTTGAGGGTCTATTCTGGCCTCTCCGGACGCGTAAGTGAGCCCACTGAGGTCAATCTGAAAAACTGCTAACATCTGCCCAGCCTGCAATAGCCGTGTTTCGCTGAATCTACCGTCGGATCGAAATCGCGACCCACTAAGAAGATACGGCGAGAAACTCACTGGGTGGTATCCGTGGGCTAATAAAATTCCCAAAAGACATCGCTGTGTAAATGCCATTCACTATTCACGTCGCGATAACGGAACTTTAGCTGGTATTTACAATTGTAATAAAATTAAAAATGATATTACAAGTATTGTTCTAAAACCAAAAGTATCAAAAGAAAAATATAAGCCTGATAATAGGACCAAGCACACATTTTAATTATATAATAACCAAATGATACACATCTTGAGTCTGAATTGCATCGAAATATCAATTTATTGCGCTTCAAATAGGAAAATGTGATTGCTTTATTGCATACTAGCGACCCGCCCTCGCTTCGCTTCGGAAACATTAAAACACACATGAAACCAAAAAATAAAATAAAAAAAAATTAAAAAAGTAGCCTATGTTCATCAGGGACAATGTCGGCTTCTAATGGAAAAAAAATTTTTCAACATTACTTTATTCTATCATCAATAGTTTTCGCAGGGCACGCGATTTAAAGAATATTTTATAGATATTTTTTTTACATCTTGGGTTACATTATTGTAGTTTTAGTAAGGATCCCTAATTTTTTCAAACAGTGAATGAATTTTTCAAATCGGTCCAGTAGTTTTGGAGCCTATTCGAAACAAACAAACAAACAAATCTTTCCTCTTTATAATATTAGTATAGAAGTATAGATGGTCGAAGTGGTTGGTAGGGACTGGAAGCGACAGGCAAGAGACCGAAGAGAATGGGATGCATTCGAAGATACCTACACTCAGCATTGGGTGGACACAGGTTCAAGAAGAAAAAAGAAAAGAAAATAAATAGGCAGTGGTGTTACCAATTCGTTTAGCGTTACAAGCCAAACCCTATCGGTTTTGTTGTCAATGAGTTACGCCATTTCAATTTCAGGCACGGCGATTACTCTCATTAATGTTAATACGGTTTTAATTTCAGATGTCTGAAGCTCATAGTGCGATTTCGAAGATAACAGCCGAAGCGTTGCTCGTACGCTTCTTAGGAATATTCTTTATGATATTTCATACGAGCCAAATTTGGGGTAACCTCATATCGTCTCTAGGTATAATATTTAAAATCTTAATATTATTTTTCGATAGGTTTCAAAGACAGCTATTGTGTTAAAGTATGTAAAAACAAAAATAGGCTTAGATTTTTTTAAATTTAAGATTTTGCTATGTTGCCTATTAGGGTTTCGTATCAGGGATTCCATATTGGGTTACATTTATGTTCATAGATCATAACACTTAATTGTTTATGTTGTCACACACAAAAAATAGTTGTAAGGTAAAAAAAATATATATTTTTTTTAAATATCTGACAAGGGATAGGGAAAACTGCCAGTTGTCCGTCAGCTTTATCGAGGTTGATGTATAGATTATACAACTTATAACCATAAAGAAAACCTTCATTAATAACATAAAATGAGAACATCATCAGTGTAATCGAAGTCAGTTAAATATGCATTATTATACTAAGGGTAAGGTCTTGATAAAATTGAAATAGGGCCACATGCGAAGCGCCAGCTTTCAAATAAAGAATTATTAAAATCGGTTCACCTAGAAAACAATTCTGAGGTAATGACGCACATAAATAATAAAGACAAATTGACGACCTCCTTCTTTCTTTGAAATCGGTCGAATGACGAAACCTCATCACTGTCTAAAGATAGCTCGCTGTTGTTATTATTGTTGTAGTCCTAGGGTACCCCGCTGTTACATAGGACCCTCACAAGTTGTTTCTATTTCACGATGTCTAATGATAGGTACGCATTCAGAATTTCGTTTGGACTTTTAAGTCGTCGTGGCCTAAAGGGTAAGACGTCTGGTGCATTCGTATCCCGCTGGCAGGTACCAATTTTTTTAATGAAATAGGTACGTACTTAACAAATGTTCACGATTAACTTCCGCGGTGAAGGAATAACATTGTGTAATAAAAATCAAACCCGCAATATTATAATTTGCATAATTACTGGTGGTAGGACGTCTTGTGAGTCCGCATGAGTAGGTACCACTACCTTACCTATTTCTTCCGTGAAGCAGTAATGCATTTCGCTTTGAAGGGTGGGGCAGCCGTTGTGCTGTTAAAACTGAAACCTTAGAACTCATATCTCAAGGTGGTTGGCGGCATTTACGTTGTAGATGTCTATGGGCTCCGGTGACCACTTAACTAAGCAATACCTAAATATTAAAAAAAACTTCGACAGTGTCCAATAGTCATTCGTATTTTCAGTCTTAACGTCTGGTAATAACACTGCGGCTGTGACAGCTGTGAACGATTCAATGATACCGCAGTTGTGTGGAGCGAATTTCTTGCCGAGTGCGGATGCGGGCCAGGCGCTGGTGGCGCAGCCCCCCGAGAAAATCCAAATGATCTCTGGCAAGTTCTTACTTAACATGTCTATAAAAACCGTGTAAACTCATCATCACTTTATATCACGAAAACTATATATCGAAGAGTGCAAAGGTATTTGGTTTATGCGACATTTTTGTAACTGTACAGATGAGCCATTTAAAGTTTAAAACTTGGAAAAAAATATTATGATATATATAACATATAATCTATGATATTAACTAAAAAAAAGAATTGTTGATGCTGATACGAAATAAAACGCACCTTTCATTACAATTGTCTCATATTAAGCGAAATGTCGCTTAAAGCTTAAAGCCTTTCACCCTTCGATATGTGGGATCGTGGCGCATAAAATAAAACTATTCCACTGTTGCACTTTAATTGTTCTTTTCCAAAATGTTCTTTGTTATTAAAAAATGACACCTTTTTTACAGCTTGCTCGTTCAATCGTCTTCGCCATCTTGTTTTTCTCTGTCATTCTCTTTTCTCTTTCTTACGGTTTTCTCTCACTCTCATCTTAACGTTCTGTTTCACACTCTTTTCTTACGTTCCGTTCTTACCAATCCTACACAATATCTATATATATTAATACGTGAAGCAAAAACTTTGTATCTCTTTTTACAAAAATTGCGCGGACGGAGGAGTATGAAATTTTCCACACTTATAGAGAATATAGAGAAGAAGTGCACAATGCTAATATTTTTTTAAAATAATGCATAAAAGATACATTAAATCAATAAAGAAAACATTACACACACTACATACCATGTATTTGACGCACACACGCATGCATACTATTTATTGGCGAACTTTTGTTCTTGACGTCTGGTCAAATTGAGAATAGATTAAATATTGTCTTTATTAATATTTTTTTATAGAGTAGCGTTGGCGAAATTTATGATTATAGTAGTATAAAATACAATCATAATACTGTACAAATTTACAATTCCAATTAATTATAATCGAATTTCGACTACTGCGGGACCTCTAGTATTTACAAATTTCTAACTAAAGTATTGTTAGAGTTTAGTATGCTGATATGTTTCATGCTTGTGTGTACTGTAGTAAGCCTTTAGTTGACTATGGTTATGTTTATTCAATGAATTTTTATAAAATTTTTATTTTATTATTATCTTTAATAAACCATTATTTTCTTTGCACGATTTCTAAGTTTGCCAATGTATATAAAGTAAATAATAAAATATTAAATACACTTAATGTGTATCAATATATAAATCGTAATGTATATTTTCGATTCTTCTGGACATTTAATAGTTACTATGTAATCGAGTATTCACATCATATAACTGATATTTCTAAGGCATCAAACGATTTCTCCTGCTGTAGCTTAATTATTAAATACGATAATTATTACGAGGAAGCTATCGTGGCCTGAAGGATAAGACGCCTAGTCTACTCGTATTGAACGACCCGACTGTACCGGTGTTCAAATCCCGCAGACAGGCTTTTTTTTTTTTTTGGAATGTATACTTGTGATTTGCTCACTAATGAGTTCTAGCATGAAGGATTAACGTCGTTTAATAAAAAAATAAATTCACTGAATTTATATATTTGCGTAATTGTCGGTGGTTGCGTATTCTCACTTTAAGCTGGCACGGGTAGGTTTTGTCACCCTGCATATTTCAGGGTCGAAGCAGTGATGCGTTGACGGATGGAACAGCCGCTATGCCATACAATTCGGACTTTGAACTCACGTCGGTCTCAATATCGGTGACGGCATTGTGGTGTCTATGACCTAAATGACCTAAATAATAAAATATCTATGTTTTCATTTTCAGGAATTTATCTAGCTTGTATGGCAGGAGCTGCTATTATAGTTGCCGTTGGAGTGGATCCGATGAAAAGGTAAAGTCTTAGGACATTTTTAAAATTCGCAGTCTCGTGACCACGCTAACTTTAAAGTATTCGATACGTCGGATAAACATAATTGAATGAAAATAGTAAAAGCAAGATTCAATCGTAAAGGTTTTCATTATACCCAATATATTTATAGATAGACGGCAGAACACCGTGGATCGTGAGGAATGTCGACCTTCACGTCCACTTGGAATTAAATTCCATCAGTATTTGAAGTCATTGTCTGAGTGCCATTTTCAGAAAACGGCTTGACACGATAACCCTCTCATCATTGCCGCCGGTAACTACCTCGGATCCTCTTGAAGTACTTTCAATGAATGCTTTTCAGAATTCTAAGCACCGGTCACTTTTCTTGTCGAACCCGTTCAATGTGAAGAAAATTTCGACTATTAATTTTACTCAGAGACACGGCGTATACAGATACAATAGATACCATAGCTATAGTTGCTATCATTCCTTGGGTATAGTTTGTCGTTTATTTTTCTAAATAAATTGATGATGGTCAAATTAATTTAGATAATAATTAGCTTAGCTTTCTTGAATTTTCACATGAATGTGACATCTTCATACTTAATATTGCAGGTTTGATACGAGAGGCAGCAGCTCTGGTACGGGTCTGTCTGGGTTGGCATTGTTGGCCGCAACTCTAAAGCTGCTAATCGAACCGAATCAAATCTTAATGATTCCAATAAACGTCTTCTTAGGATTCCAACAAGCGTTTTTTGGGGCGGACTTTACTGCGGTGCGTTTTTTTTCCTACCTATTCTAGTGACGTCAAGCAGTCATGCTAGATTCACCACCGAGCAAGTCAGTGAGCTCACGGAACTTTAACCTAGTGATATGGCTGACACTACCCCTAGCAAGAGCAGAGCACCGGATCGAAATCCACTGAGAAGATCCGGCGAGAAACTCAGTGGGCTGAGTCTGTGGGTTAATTTGCTCGCGGAACCCTTCGTCGCAAGCGACGGGTTCGACGAAGACGATGACCTGTGCTTGAGGTACCTAAAAGCACCTTTATTGGATTGAGATCGACTGTTTACCAGTCAGTCCGCAGAATGATTTATTTGATAACTGTGCTTCATCTGTAGAATCTTCATCTTCTTTAGAAATATTAGTACCAGAATCTTTCATACTAGATATGAAAAAAAAAAACATACAATTCTTCATGTTCCCGTCATTTTACCACATTTTGTGGGGTCGGCAAATCAGTCGGTGGTCGTGGCATCCTATCATGCTGCATAGGGATTTGGCTTGAGTTTTTCGACTGGCCTGCCTTACTTGAACCCTCCTTAGGTTATATCTCCAGTAGTATATCAGTTACAACGTCCCATAGGGAAATTTTTCTATTTCTACTTTTGATGTTTCTATTATTCATCTGTTTTTGATTCTGTGATTTGCATTTTATTATTATAAACATTTACATAAAAATTTAGATTTTCAAACACCAAAACGATAAAAATAGCACATTTTATTCGTTTTTCTATATTTTCACTGTAAAAATAAACAAAATAAGTTGCCAAAAGTTTTTGTATTAGATAAAAATGGATTTAATTCGTCTTTATTATTTTTTTATTCAGCATATGTTATGTTCAGTTTATTCACGTAAAATATATATGAATTAGTAATAGAGAATTTTATTAGAAGAACAATAAAGTTCTCACTTGACTGGTTTTTATATCGAACGGCAAATGAGGTTTTGGTTTTTTTTTTGTCTTCAACATGGGAATTTCTGTATGTTGTTTCAAGTTAGAACTTCATCAAGTTTATTATTTTACGATTGCAGGCCTTCGTGTCTTGTGTCCTCGGCACGGGATCCGTTGGTTTTGTTATGATGACTTTTGGATTGGCTGATGCAATAGGTTGTATCGTAAATGGATATATAGCAAAGGTGAGCGTATTCAAATATTAGAGTTATTTTAGTGTTCAAAATTTAGAATTCAGTATGATTTTTCATTTTATTTAAAGAGCACAAAGAAACCAGACAATGGTGTCGCTATTAACAATAACGAAACTCTTTAAAAACAAATAAAATAATCAATTTATTAACTAAGAAGAAAAGGGCATTGAAGCGTTTTGTCGCTGTGTCATGCAATAAATTTACATGTTTAATTTTTATTACGAGAATTATTATTTCTTAATCTCAGAAGGCGTTCTGGAATAAATGTTAAGCTCATATAATATCCTTAAAAAAACTATTTTACTTTCCTGCGGGGCTTAAACACCGATATAGTCATATCGGTTTACACAAGTACACCAGACGTCTTATCCTTTAGGCCATGTTGATTTCTAATTTCTTTTTTCGGATGAAAAAAATTTTATCGTAGAAGAGAGCTACAACAAACAAAATGATAAGGTGTACGCACACAGTAGTGAAGAAGCGAGCAACCGTATTCCGCGTGTCCAACGAGGTCATTTTCCATCCTCGCTCATGGTATGGTTGGGAGTTTCTTATTGGGGCTTAACAGAGGTACATTTTTGTGAGAAAGGTGTAAAAACGAATGCAGTTGTGTATCAAAATACAGTCCTGACGAACCT